TATATATATATATATATATATATATATATATATATATATATATATATATATATATATATATATATATATATAATTTTTTAAAGGATTTTCAAGAGATGACGTAATTAGTACTACATCACATCGGGCCATATTGTTGCTACCTTCATGTCAAATTGTTGCACCATCATGTAGCTTTAGTTTTCATTTTGTATGTGTCATTTTGCCGAAGTGTAAACAACATTGTTTTTTTGAGCATTAAATATGTCGAATTTTGTGCCAACAAAACGCAATTTGCGGGAAGCTTTGCTTGTTTACCTTCCATTTGAAGAAAAGTGCTGTTGAAAGTCAACGAATACTGTTGGAAGCTTATAGTGGAATCAGCTGAGTATAGTGTATTATGAGCTGCTCCAACCCAACGAAACCGTGACAGGGGAACGCTACCAACAACAATTGATGCAATTGAGCCGATCCATTGAAGCAAAAAGGGTCAGATTACGCGAAAAGACACGACAAAGTGATTTTCCAGCACGACAACGCTCGGCCACATGTTGCGAAACCGGTCAAGGAAACGTTAGAAGCTCTTAACTGGGATCTTACCACACCCGCCGTATTCTCCAGATATTGCTCCTTCCGATTACCACTTATTTCGATCAATGACTCATGGCCTGTCTGAGCAGCGCTTCTATTCTTATGAGGATACTAAAAAATAGGTCGATTCGTGGATAGCCTCAAAAGATGTGTCGTTCTTTCGACATGAAATGTATCTATTACCAGAAAGATGGGAAAAAGTAGTGGCTAGCGATGGACAATATTTTGAATGATCAATTTGTAAGCATTTTTTCACAATAAAGCCGTATTTTTACCAAAAAAATCCCTTAAATTAATGCACACTCCCAATATACCAATATACTCAATGTATAGAGATAACATAGATGAATATCCTATAATAATTCGTGCCAATCATAATACAATGAAGAGCGAAATAAAATGTGTTTACAGAATAAATTTTAGCAAGCCGAACAACATTAGTTCCCTCTTGAGATTCTCATCGAATCGTATATTAGCACCGCAACAATGGTACGAATCGGATGCACCGATTAAGATTATGAACGTGAATATTATTCGTGTAGAATGCAGCGTCATCAGTGGTGTATACAGCAACGGTACCCATACATACGATACATGAATTCTCACCTAACGTGTCATCAGGATATAAGATATCGGAAACGCCAGTACACGTCATTTATCTTCCAATTATCGCACGAAGCATTATAGATTTAACGGTCGATCAAGAAGAGCGATTGCTCGATTTTCGAGGAGAAGAAATTACCATCAGACTGCACGTGCGACAGCAACTACAACGTTAATACGAATTCTATATTTTGGAAGCGCGTGAGATGCTCGTACTGAATGAGACGGATCAGGTACACGCGACAGAACATTTTATTGCACCGAAGACGACTCCAAACAATACGCGTGGTTGTATAAAAAAAAAACTCAACGCGGTAAACATTGAATTTCTGACATCTCTCTAGGATTCATCGTACGAAACAATTGAAAAAAAGATGATTGACATTTTGAACATTGGAAGTAGCCCGATCTTTGACGATTGCATTATCAAGATCGAAACAC